AAGACAGAGAGAAAGCACAGGGAGCTGTGTGGACTCTTGAGCCTATTGCTGGTACGCACTGATTAGCCTATAGGGGATAGGGATGAACTAATCTGATCAAATGAAGAAAAAAATGTTTGACACCGTAAGCTGGGGTACACTGCTATAATTTGTCATTTGCTTTGCCTGCAGATGCTCAAAATTTCAACCAGAACAAAAGACTTTTCAAAACAAGGCACATGCTTGTCTGCTCAAAGTACTGGTTCAACAGGGACAGGCAATCTAAACACCAGCTATCTAAAACAGGGAGAGATAAAAGCATGAAGTGGCTGGCTTACACCCCTTTCGTGGACATACTTAGTCTCACTAACTCAGGGGGACAAGGGAAGATCTCCACTGAACAGTTTCCTCTCTTCCCTGTGGGTCTGGGGAAGAGGAATTAGGGGGAAGATGCTGATCCAATATTATGTAGACGAATAATGACTGTTAACAAGATGTGATTGTAAAAACTGTAATTGTAGAAGCTATAACTGTTAAAGAATGGACTAAGGCGGGGGTAGGTATGGATTAGAGTACAGTGCCTGAACCTAAAAAACTCTTAAAAGGTTTTGCTATGCTGATATCTTGTGACGCTCAGAACAAGGAAATAACCTATTAAATTTTATCAAAGGCCAAAAATGGTGATGCCAAAACAAACTTTTAGAGAATCTGACCCGATAAGATGGTCATCTGCAGGAGTCCTGAATGACTGGGAATATAAAAAACTTCACCCCAAGGACTCTTTGCCCTACTAAAGGATTCAATGTTAATAACTGTTTTGGGAATGGGAAAGTAACTGAAAAAGGCAGAATTAAATCCTTCAAGTATGAAGGAGAGAATGGCTAGAAAAGCCAGGGGTGCCCTGAGAGGTGCAGTGAATGGCCCTTCTAGTCACAGTCTTTGTAATTCCCACCAAATGGTTTAGGAGGATTATGTAAATGAGGTGCCTGTGGTTCACCAGAGGATTGGGTCACTTGCTACTAATGTACATAATATACACTGTGGCACTGTGGATCATCAGCACAGGACTGCAAACCACGAGGTTGGCAGTTAAAACCCACCAGCTGCTCCTCGGAAACCTTACACAGAATCACTGAGTCAGAACTGACTCAATGGCACTTAACAACAACAAACAAGGTACAACGTTGTGGTGTGGGACCATGCAAATAAGGTATATGGAAACTTAATGATGGGATTGGAGAACTGATGTGGTGCTGTAGGATAAGCAGTAGACTGCTAACCACAGGTCAGAAGTTCAAACCCATCAGTCACTCCTCAGAAATCCCATATAGCATCACAATGAGTCAGAACTGAGTCAACAGCACTTAACTACAACAATGGGATTGGTCAGCTATGCCACCCTATTAGGCTTAAAACGATACATCTCAGAAGCAGAAAAGGAGGACCTCATGACCACCAAGAAGAGGGGAGTAGAACATGCCCTCTGGACCCTAGATTCCTGAACTGAGAACCTCCTTGACCCAGGACACAAAGAGAAAGAGCTGTAACATCAGAAGTGACAAGAAACAGCAATGAGACAAGAACCCAGAGTCAGATGCACAATGGTAGAGCCAAAAATAACACTTGCCCAAGTAGGGCAGAGGCCAGGCCGAGGGACCAAGGGCCAGAGAGAGTTGCCTATGGGTACAGCTGAGAAAAGGTACCCTGGTCAAAGAGCTGTAGCCAGAGCATTCCTGAAACTGAATCGTAACCCTCTACTATCCAACTGTGAGTATGGTCTATGGCCACTACCATGAATTATGAAAACCCAGTACGTGTGATGGGAGGGACAGCTGATGCCAGAACTGCTATAAAGTTTGGAGCGAGGAGGTCTGTCTAATCTCCACCTCATAACAAACAGAGATGATCAGACCCTCTATCAGGCCATTTGTATCCATAGTAAAGGTGGTTGTTAAGTGCCGTCAAGTCAGTTCCGACTTATAGCAACCCTATATAGGGTTTCCATGGAGCATTGGTGGGTTTGAACCATCAACCTTATGGTTAGCAGTCCAGTGCTTATCCTATGGCACCACAAAATGTAGGCCGAGGAACAGTGAGGTTAGGACAAGCTTCAATATCTAATTATTTTTCTTCATCTTCTCATGAACATCCCCAGCTTACACCAGGGGACATAACTATAATAGCCTAAATAGTGTAAACACTGGGTTGGTTATTAGCTATCCCTGAGAGAACTGCTTTTTTAAAAACGAATTCTGGATTAGGATAATGCTTAACATCAATAAGTGAATTTCTGTTAGAGGCATTGCATGTACTTATTAACAGTAATCTCAAAAGCCAGCGTTTACTGTGGTGCTGGAGAGTAAGAACTGGACTGCTAACCACAAAGTCAGCAATTCAAACCCACCAGCTGCTCCTTGGAAACCCTATAAAGGGTCACTGAGTTGGAACCGACTCAATGGCATTTAACAACATGTTCACCAATTCACTTAAGCATCACATTAATACTAAGAAACAGTATTATTTTGTCTCTATTTAATACCTGAGGAAAGTGAAGTGCAGAGATCTTAGGCATCTTACACACACAATCACCCAGAAACAAGCCGTAGAGCTGGGATTTGAACTCAGGTAGCCTGGCCTATAATCTCTTCACTGTTCTGTGATCGTTCCATTTAGATTTCCCCCTCAGTGATTCAAAACTACCCCTTTCCTCAATCTCCTCTCAACACACTGCCCAAGGACAGTGTTTTCCCTGCAACCCTGAGTGGGCGTGGTTCACTCACTCAAGCCTCACTGACCACAGTCTTAAAGCAAGGTCCCGTCCTTGCTCCTCAATGCAACTCAAATGCCACAATTCTGCTAACCTACTTAAAGACCATATTCATTTGCAGCCCCTCAGGCAGCATGCTTTCCCACCCTTAAGCTATCACTCCAGATGGTCTCCTAGATTCTTTCTAAAGGTCAGGCAGTCTCTACCAGTCCAATTCCTGCCTCACTCTGTTACCTCAGCAGCCATACGGTGGCCCCAGGCAGGCAACACACTGACCTCCCAGTTTCTTGAACTCTCTAGTCCATTTCTGTCTTCCAACTCAGCTTCCCCTTGCCAATAGTTGACCCCATCACCAGCAACTGTACAAATGTTTACTTATTCAAATCTTCCACTACCTGGCCCCCAGCACATTGGTACAATTCTCTGACCTTTGACCTGCTGCAAAGAAGTCAATTTCAACTCTTGGCAACCCCGTGTGCAGAACAGAATTGTTCTACAGGGTTCTCAAGGTTATGACTTTTTAGAAACAGATCAATAGGCCAAGCTTCCACAGTGTCTTTGTGTGGGTTTAAGCTACAAACCTTTCACCATTTGTCCCACATCCAGGGACTCCCTTCAAAGCAGGGGTATCTCTATTAGCCATTTCCTTCTTTACTTTCTTCCTCATCCAGCTGAGACATGAGCTCGATGAGGGCAAAGGCCTTATGTATGTTGTGGGTGCCCAATCCTGAGCCCCAGACAGAATACTGGCACATGGGAGAAATGCAGTACATCTTATTGAATGCTTGACATTTCAGGGCTCCCTGCTATCAAGTCGGTTTTAACCCTGTATAAAGTTTCCAAGGCTGTAAATCTTTACAGAAGCAGAAACTTCACATTCTTCCCACAAGTGGTTGGTGAATTCAAACTGCTGACCATGTGGTTAGCAGCCCAGTGTGTAACCTACTGCGTTACCAGGGCTCCGTTCAGGGCCCATGGAGGCCATGTATACCTTCCTATCCATCAAGCTGGTCCTGCTTCTACAGATGCAAAGAATGGTCTAGAATAATGATCTAGGTTCATTATAGAAAACCATTATTAAAGAAGTTCTTGGCTGAGCTTGTTATTTAAGAGCTGTTGAGTTGATTCCGACTCACAGCAATGCTGTTTAGGGTCTCCGAGGAACAGCTGGTGGGTTTGAACCACTAGCCTTGTGGTTATCTAACCTGGCAGTGGTTAACTAGTCCAGTGCTTATCTAACCTGGCAGATAGGAAACAGGAGGTGTTCGAACAGTGGGAAATTCACAAGCAAATGTATAGAGGGGAGAATGTAGGTTTGCTCATTAACACAGTGCTTCTAACAAGTGTGCCCTCTGCTGGGATCACTGATGAGTTACCTGCTGCTAAAACATGTCCAAATATGACCTCAGACACCTCTTCTGGAGCCACACTAGCCCTCTTCAGAACTTCTTTGATGACCGTTGCACCCAGGTCATGGACAGGAACGGTAGATAAGGAACCATTGAAGGAGCCTAAAACACAATGGGGGTGGGGGGGGAAGCAGCAGTTTAAACCTAAGGGTGATGAAAGAAGCCCACTCATGTCTGGGGCCCTCGGGATCTGCCGTGGGAGCATCAAGAGGAGCCTGTGTGGAAAGCCACCAGGGGGAGGTGCTCCCTTTCCCGTGGACAGACTCCAGCACCAGCAGCTCTGGGTATAGGGCAAGGGGACTTGTCACAACTTGTCACATCTGTGATTGGGCTATATGACACTCAGAATGACTTATGAAAGAGTCAGGCCAGGGATAAAACCTTGTCATTTATTTACAGAAAACTGAGGGGATAGAAAACACCCCATGATTTCCAAACAAGACAAGTCAAAAGATCCTTGTTGAGTGGCTTTGAAAATTCTAAAGAATTACAGACAAGCCAACTACTATCAGAGGTGCACCTCCACTCCTCTTCTCCAACTCTGGGGGTGCCCCCACAACTTGTCCACCTTCATCATATGGCCCAACCAGTCCCCATGGTCTCCCCAGCTCTCCACCTGCAGCTAGTCCCTCACTACCTCTTCCCCAAGCCCTCTCCTCAATTTGTCCCTCTACTTGCCCCCTGTTCACCCCGACGACACACTTGTTCTCACTCACCCTGGGATGTTTGTCCAGTAAATCAGTTCCACCACTCGCCTGTCCCTTCTGCTCAACCTCTCCAACCCCTGCTCATTTCTCTCAGGTCCACCTCTCAGCTCATCCTCCCACCCAGCTCAGTCCCCCTGGTTGTGCCCTAAGTTCAGTTCTCCCCACCTCCATTTGTCTTCCTAGGTCATTCACCTCTCACCCCCAAATACTCCTCCAAGTCTGTCCCCTCAATTCCCCATTGCTTGTCCCCACTTCAATCCCTATCTCCCCTCAGCTCAGTTCATCCTCCTAGCCAGTCCCCTCAGCAGCTTCTTCCCCCCCAGCTCAGACTACGCCCCTGGTCGCCCTCCCTCCAATCAGACCATCCACGTGCCCCACCCCCGCAGTTGTAGCCGATGGCGCTTCCCGACGCTGGCCAATCAGAGGTCTTACAAGCGGGCGTGTCCCTGCTTCAACCAATGGGAGCGCCTAGCAGAGCGTGGCTCTACCTAAGGGAACCAATCAGAGCCCGTTGGACTAAGTACGGAGGGTGCGCCCGGGACTGGAGGCGCGAGGTCCGGGTCTTCGGTCGGCCTGTTACCACCGCCCCCCTCTCTCCCTCTATTACCCCCACACACCCCACTCCACCCCCCTCTCCTGCCATGGGTTCTTTTTGCCCTATGCCCCCTCGGTCACCCCCTACTCAGCTTCGGGATCTCCTTGCTTAGTGCACCGCAAGTTGCCCCTTCCTGAGTCGGCCCTTCCTGAGTCACCCCCTACTCAGCCTCAGGGTCTCCTCGCCCAGTGTCCCGCCGCCCCCCTCCCTCCTGGCGAGCGTGCAGACCGCTGGGCAGCTCACGCCCGGCCGCCGCCGACCACTCACCGATGGCGGTCCTTGCCGCCGAGACGATGACCACGGGGTCCCGACCTGCGCTCATCCTGCCGTGGCCGCTGCTCCACAGCTGTGAGGACCCGCCGCCGCCGCTAAGAAGAGAGCCCCACCGCCCACGCGCCGTGCAAGGGGCGGAGACTGAGGCCGGCCACCGCTACACAGCTGCCAGTGCGCAGGCCCAGAGAGGAAGGGAGGGAGACTGGGTGCTGCGAGCGTTCCTAAGCCTCAGTGCCGGCGGGTCAGCGAACCCAAACACCCCCACATACTGCTGACCTCCTACTGACACCTCAGTGCAGGCAGGGCTCAGACCCGACTCCCACACATACCCCCAACCCTCTCCTAGGACACTCGAGTGTTTTAGAGTTTGGGGGGTCAGTGAAGAGTGGGTTCCAGGCAGCACAGGACTGGCGTCCCAGGGCTGCGAATCCCAACGTTGAATGCAGTTTCTGAAGTGCAGTTTGCGCTCAGGATCGAACATGGTGCCATGCATTTTGCCTTTGGTAATAACTGGGTTCTCCTCTCTGCAGATTGATAGGAGGATTTGCTTAACCTCCTATGGGGTTGGTACCACTAGCCTTGCTACCCTAGAAGAGCGGCTCTAGGGGCGACCTGTGAGGGAGGCTGGAATGTCTTCACATCCCCCAAATCAAAAATGATTTCCTGGGGTTGATGATCTGAAAGGTGAAGAGCATATAGTAACAAGTTGAATCGCTCTCCGGTTTACAACCTTGTCAGTTTGAAATGCAAGATCGGCGGTTCAAACCCACCAATCGCTCCTTGGAAACTCTAGACAATATCGCTATCAGTCGGAACCTACTCAAAGGCACTTAAAAACAAAACAACGACTCTCCAACTAGGCAAAATTCAAATCCTATCAGAGGTTTCTAGAACCTCAACACCTGGCCTCCACCACTTCCAGACTTCCAGTCTCAAGTCTGGGGACCTCCTCCTCCCTCCCTTAAGCTCCTACTCTTCTGAGAGAGTCCACATCTTCAGCTTTGCTCCTTTCTGTATCTGTATGGAATTTCCAACTCCCTGAAGGAAGATAAAATCCTTATAAATCCTTGTGAAAACCTCTCCTATCTTTTCCCCCACCCAATTCACGGTTCCCTCTCCTAGTTCCCTTTAGCACATAGTATACAATTCTGTAGATAGCTTTTCATGCTGTAATAATTAAGAGTTTCAGGTTTTTAATTACCAACGCATCCCAACCCTGCCCCTCACTCCACCCCCAGAACACACAGTGGTACAATCCTCTCATTCCCAAACTTGGGTCCTGGTGTGGTGATGCAGGCTAATGCACTGGACCATAAGGTCCACAGGTTGGCCGTTCAAACTCACCAGCCACTCCTACACAGGGTTGCTGTGAGTCAGAATGACTCACTCAACAAAGCTTAACAACAACAAACACTGTTCTTGGTGCTAGGTGTCTCCAGCACCTAGAACATGTTTGACACATCCTAAAACTCCTCCTCACTGCCATCAACTTACAAAGACCCTATAGGACAGAGAGAGCTGCTCCCTCCAGTTTGTTTCAGAGGCTGTAAATCTTTATAGGAACAGACAGTCTTAGCTTTCTCCTTCAGAGCAGCTGGTGAGCTTGAACCACTGGCCTTTTACTTAGCAGCTTTATAATCTATTGTTGCTGTTGTTAACTGCCATCAAGTCAGTTCGGACTCAGTGCCCCTGCATAGGGTTTCCAAGGAGTGACCGATGGGTTTGAACTGCTGACTGTATGTTGCACAGCCCAGTGCTTATACTACAGTGCCACATCAGGCCTACTAAAAAACCAAGCCCACTATCACTCACTGAGTTTATTCCAAATCATAGTGACCCTATGTAGGGTTTCTCAGGAGGCTGTAAATCTTTAAGGGAGCAGAAAGTCTCCTCTTTCTCCTGTGAAACAGCTGGTGGATTTGAACAGCTGACCTTGTCATTTTCAGTCCAGTGCGCAATCCACTAAGCTACAAGGGCTCCTTTTATAATCAGTCTGTGCTGTTCTTAAGTTGCCTTTTGTTTGTTTCCACTTCTTGGGGTTGCGTTTTGGGTTTTTTGGGGGGGGGTTGTTGGTTTTGACCGCCCACCTTTGCGTTTCAACTTGCCTTTTTGTTGGGTTTTTTTTCTTCCGTTGCCCCTTGTTGGGAAATTCTACTATCTTTTAATTCATTTTTTCATAAATATTTTGAAACCCCTTAGTGGTGGGCCTATAGTAGGTACTGTTGTTGTGAAGTGTTGTCAACTTGGTTCTGACTCGTAAGTGACCCTGTACAGGGTTTCCAAGGAGTAATGGGTCACCAACCCTTGTGTTACCAACCTTGCAATTAGCAGTCCAGTGCTTTTCCCACATGGTGCACCAGGCTCCAGTAGGAACTTTGTTGTTGTTGTTGTCAGGTGCCATCGAGTTGGTGCCGACTCATAGTGACCTTATGTACAGCAGAATGAAACACTGCCCAATTCTGAACCAACCTCACTATCGTTGCCACGCTTGAACCCATTGATGCTGCCACTTTGCCAATCCATCTCGCTGGGGTCTTCCTCTTTTTCCCTGACCCTCCACTCTACCAAACATAATGCTTATTTATTTAAAATAAGAATGAATTTTCATGATTATTTTCAAAGGTATTACCTAACAATTCCCAAGTGCTACATGTGGCCTCATATTCTCTGAGAAGTCATCAATGTGTGTGTCAAGATGTACTTGAGTAAAGGTTAAAGACTTAGATGGGGTAATCAGTGATGGCTGCAATTTCAAGTGCATTTGGAATGAACTCAATAGTTTCACATGGATATGAATCCAGTCAAGGTGATTGTTATAACAGATTGTTACGTTGCTGAGATGTTACAGAATCAAATTGACTGTAATTCTTTTTTTCTTTTTTTTTTTAGCAATTGGAAGTTTTATTTTGGATAAGCAGAATTTGCAAGTGGAAAATACCACTTTGCCAAAGATATGACAATAAGCTAGGAATAAGCTTATACTAGGATAAAAGTACATCATTCTTTCAAGCTCTGACAAAACTCTGGAAAATGGAGGCATCTTCTAATTTCTCTGCAAACATGTGTTTTTAGTATTCTAAATGTGTGAATAAGTCCCACTGCTATTTTTCCAATTTTTTTTAAACCTTTTTATTATTGAGTGAAGCTTTAGAGAGGAGATCATCAGTTTTTGATCCAGCAAACCATCCACTTTGTTTCATCTCAATGACTGCAATCCCCTACATGTAACAACAGTTCTCCCACGTCCTCCCTGTGGTTCCTATTCCCTCCATTCCCCCCTCCTTCCCATCCCTTCTCAGCTTTGTGCTTCAGTAAATGTTGCCCGTTTGATCTTGAATAGTTGACCGTTTCATTGTGAGCCTATCTTACTAATGTTGTTGTCCTTCCTATGTATGTATCTACTGCTTGGCTGACAATTGGGCCATGAGGGTGAATTCTGTTCCAGACCAGAGGAGCTGTAGAGAGCCATAGTCTCAGGCGCCTACATTCTCTTTCTAACCAATATATAATTTTGAGTTTTGTCTTTTTAATAACCTTGAGCTTTTCCCACATTTTCTCCTACATTCTAGCCCACTCTTCTAATGTGATCCCTTTCAGAGTAGTGGGTAGGTAGCCAGCCACCATCTAGTTCCTTTGGTCTCATGAAGACTTCTGTTCACATGTCCCATTAGTTCGGTGGACTAATTGATTCCAAATGCCTTCAGTTTTCATCACTCTTTCCTCTGCACATGGAGAAACCAATAGTTACTCCTTAGAAGGCCACTTGTGGGCTTTTAAGATCACAGTTCATATTCACCAGAGTAGAATATACAATGGTCTTTGGGAATTATATTATGCCAATTGACCATGGTGTCCCCTGAGACTATGGTCTTGAGCTCCCCATACCTCAGGGTGTTTAGTAATGTCTAAGAAGTTTTCATCATTTTGTCCTCTGTGTGCTCTACACTGTATGGTGCTTGATGGCACTGAACAACATGATCCATCACATTCCTAGGTGTGTTTGCAGCAAAGGTAAATACCCAGGTACAAATATCCTCTGCCAAAGTCTTCAATATTTCTGGGTCTGCTCCCACTTTCCCTCCCGCAACTGTTCAGCCTGTGTATCTGTCCATGTATCTACTTGTAGCACTCTGTTGTTTCAGTTTGCATATGTAACAGTATCCCTCTGTATCCCCTTTAACCCTTGCATTCCTCCCTGTGTCTTCACCTGTCTTCATCATTCTTTTGCCAGCTTCCCTCTTGTTGTATATTAACATATGTCCACCCTCTATCGGCTATAATTCTTATGGAAACATATTGCCAAGCCTGTTTCTTGTTCAATGCTGCTGGCTGCGTTCCGATGGCCAGCAATCTAGTTACCAACCAAGTGTAATGGTTTGTACCCCCTAAACCTTCAGTTATGGTAATTGAGTGCCCAATATCCATTTTACTCCAAATAATTAGTCTTAATCCATTTAAGGAGTCCTGGTGTGGCACTGTAGGATAAGCGCTGGACTACTAACGGCAAGGTCGACAGTTCAAACTCACCAGTTGTTCCTAGGAAACCCTATGCAAGGTTGCTATGAGTTGGATCCCACTCGGGATGTAGGTATCATTTATTGAACAAGCCAGAAACCTCCTTCTCACACTCCTCTCCATCCAAGTCTTCCTATCGCCTACCCTTGGTGTCCCATCAACATCTTATATCTGACTTTATCTTTGCAGCTACAGCATGTTATAATTTCTAGTTTCATTTGTCTCCTCTACTAGATTATAAAATTGCAAAATGATCTTGTTAAACAGCTTCACGCCATTTCTAGCACATTGTATTGTTATTAGGTGCCCTCAAGTTGGTTCCGACTTATAGAGAGACCTTATGCACAACAAAATAAAATACTGCCTGTTCCTGCGTCAACCCCACAATCAAACAGTGTTGTTTACACTTGAGTCCTTTGCTGCTGCCACTGTGCCAATCCATCTCATTGGGGTCCTCCTCTTTTTTGCTGACTGTCCCACTTTACCAAGCATGAAGTCCTTCTCCAAGGACTGGTCCCTCCTGATGACATGTTG